AAATTAAATGCCACAAAATTACCACAATAAACAGTTGAAACAAGTTTTTTCACATATGCCTTTTTGTCAGCCAAATAAATGACAAAACGTAAACCAGTTGAAAACTTTGTCAGAAAATATTAATTTCTTCACTTTACGGACATCTTTTTCCTTTAATTTCACAATTTTGAACTCTTTTTATTTGTCATTTTTTTTCTTTTTTCACTACCACGACACGTCAAAAATGAATTTGAATTATCTTATTTTAACCTCGTATATGTTCAGCACAGAGTTGTTTTTAATATGATAATAATTCTAGGATGTTAAAACTCATTAGTAAGAAATTATTCTTTGAATCAAAACAAAATCAAGAAGTCTGTGTCTGAAAATTACCAAAAATCGCAAAGCATCTGTCAGATTCCGTGATTAAATATATTTTCTTCATTGTATACAAAAACCGAATGAAACGAAAATTTGAAATACTAGCAAATATCAATTTATTTATTTATTTTAGTTAAAATCGTAAATCGCTCTCATTTTCTCAAGAAGATTCTCTTGGGTGACACCCTATGGTTAGTAAGTATTAACTGAAATACACGTCTTCGCAAATAATTCGTTGCTTACGTTTATGTAGTTTGGACTAAAGATAAAAAGGCAGCAAAATTTATTTATTAAGGGGCTTTCTCTAAAGATATCTTTTATAACGAAGTAACGAACCAAAACCTAGAAAGTTTACGTTAGAGAAACACAGGTACTTTCAGTTTATGCTTTCTCGTAGACATGTCCTTCGTCCAATCGCGTCTATTTTCAATATCAATCTGCGTGTAAGAACCTCGAATGTTTCTGCCAAATTTAATTTTTGAGGTCAGGAGAACGTAGACAACACACACACGGACACGGTTAAGTCGACGCAAGCTTTGACACTGATCAAAAAATAAATACTTTTTGGGATCTGCAAAAGTTCCGTTAGATGTTGCTAACATTATGAGAAAGTGAGAATACTCCCATCTTTCAGTGGTTGGTATATAAAAATACTATACAAAAATACCAATTAAGTATGTCATTCTTCCTGTAAAAAATATTTGTATCAATGTTGCACACATTTTTAAAGAATTTTGTGAATTTCAGCTAATGTTTAATCATTTTAGATTGATTTCGTAATACATTTTGATAAAGATAAGAAAGCCATAAAAGCCCCAACGGAAACGACAATGTCACACCGGATAACAAAGTATGTTGGTTGCCCTAATATCACTCAATTTTTAGTCGACTTCATTCCAACTTTTTAGGGTAGCTATTCTTTTGTTGAAACTTGATTTTTTTTGTGAGAAAGACTTAAAAACGTTCCGTGGACCGGACTCCCTTAAGGTAAAACACTTGGAAATGATCGAATACGAAGTACTGCGTATTGCTGAACACGAATGGAATTCAAAATATATGAATGCCAATCAAACGAAACGAAATTACCTCAAATGTCTGTTACAAATAAGTAACTGATTTAAGACTGATGCGCAACAATTGTTTTAACTAGTGGTTGTGGGCTTTTTTTATTCCCCCGATATAAAAAAAGGTTTTATTGAACAGTAACCCTTCTTTAGAAGAAAAAATTAATTGCGGAATTTTGTTCTACTTTTCATGGGAAATAGGAGGCATAATTTGTCATGTAGCACATTTGTCATGTCGGATGTTTGGCAAATAAAGTTGCTTCCCTTTAACGTTCTGAGGTGTGTTTTATGTGTAACTGGAAGCAAAAACGAAAATTAAAAAGAAAAGAAGGAAAAGAAGAAAGAGAAAAATAAACTGAAATAAAAAATATTAATTGATACAAATAGTTAGTGAATTCATTTTCGAGTGAAAAACTATTCTTTTGTTTGCACTTTTGTAAATTGCTTTTTAAAATATTAACTAGTTTATCGTCCGGATTTTTCGTAAGCGTTTCGCGGGATAACAGCTAAAACAACATCAGCCTACCTCCCTAAGGAGCCAAGGTCTGGCCTGATTATTAAAGGTAGAGATGATTTCGAAGATTTTTATGTGAATGCCACTGAGAATAATAAGAGACCGGAGACGGTCAGTAACTAGGCAGTTAATAAGCTCTCTGAATTGGGTTTCAACGCAATTTCAAATCATGAAATTAGTTTGTTTGATCGTATTATGCAATGCAATTTCGTCTTTTTTGGAAAAATTTGTGAAAATGCCGAAAGCATGCGTACGAACATCAATTCGGATCTTTTCTTTTATGATTATCTTAAAGGTTTCAACATTAACCGCTTAAAAGAACTAAAGGTGGTTAGGAAGGGTAGAGCCAAATAGCCGTTCAGCGATGTCCAATATTCCCATTAAGTCTACTGTTAGACTTCGAAGAAGAAATCCTAACAACGTGGTCGATTTTATTCCTACAAGAAGTATTAAAGTTAGGATTAAAGGGAAAGTCCTCCCCAAAACGATCAAGTTCAGTTTTTGCAACATTTCCGTGCATCTTAAAGCAATATGTCGAAATTCTGTAAAGCCAAAGAGAGCAGGTATCTGAATTGTGATAAGTCTTCTAAATGTACCGAAAACTACGAAAGATGAGATGTCTGTCCTGTGATGAACACAACACTAAACACTAACACTCAGCGGGAATTAACTATCAAGAAAATTAAGGCCATTAAAAATCTTTCCTACGAAGAAGTGAAAGAGAGGTTTTCCTCAATATCTGGATGCTAATTCCTAAAAGAAGAATTCGTTCGCCCATATTGATAACGAAAATGCTAATAAGATTCTGACAAAGAAAAATTTGAATGCGCCCATTAAAAGGATATCTGTTATTTCCAAACCTTTTCTCAGTTCACCCCTCAAGCAGTCAAAGGCCTTAATTTCAGACGTATTCCATACAATTCAGCTGTTATTATCATCAAAACCATGAATCTTAAGCAGAGTCTTTTCGTAGTATCGTAATACTTTCCACGCAGTGTTGATGTAGAAACTTTTCGTGATGTAATTCAGAGATTATGCGGCTTTCTTGATGGTGAACAATATGTGATTTTAGCTAGAGATTTCAAAGCTATAAATTGATTGTATTGCGATCAGCTCTCGACCAACAAATGCAAGATCTTTGTAAATGCCAGCAGCTTTAAAGCTTTAAATAATGACTATCCTACCTCCCACTGTAATTATAGTGGTAGCATGGCGAGCAGAGTGTTGGATCTAACTATGTCTAGTTCAACTATTTTATCACTCAACTAGAATAAGACTTATGTCCCCATTGGCAAAACTTAACAATATCCCATTTCATTTCAAAGTTGCAGCAATTCTGTACAAAAAATTGAAAATTTCACGCAAATTTCTAATGTCTAATGTCTGTCTAAAGTTGAACTACCTTTTAATTTAGCATCGATTCAACGTATTTTTCAATCTGGGACCAAGTTTTACAGTCCAGAAATAGAGCTGCAAGTTGTGATGGAGTTAAATGGAATATGGTCAGAGCGCTGTCTGGGGGAAGTTTAACCGTGCTGTTGCATGCAACGCTGATCTATTAACTTTATATCCTTAGATTTTCGATGTATCAAAGTGTTAAATGATTTAAGCAACTTTTAGACCCATTTCGCTAATATATGTATTCATAAAGATTATCAACCTCATGGACAAGGGGACACTAGCGGATTTCTTGAAAACTGGAAATATCATTCCACCTCGTTCTTATGCGTATCAATAACGCAAATCTACGAATATGTGCGTTAATGAACTATCGTTTATTGTTATACTTTCCCTGAATATCAGCAAAGCCTATGATTGGGTCAAGTTGATGAAGTTTAGTAGAGTTCTTTCAAACTTTTCAATTTCTCTTCAAATATGTCTGGTAATATTAAACAAACGTGTGTTGATAATGCTTCGGTTCACGATATAATATATACAACTACTCGGTAGTGGGGCACCTATATGAAACATTACATAAACTCAAAATCTCAGAAGCGCTCTACTGTACTTTTATTGAATTGCTCAAAAATGTCGTTTTTCCCGATAGAAAGTCAGCTCTGATTTTAATAAACAAAAGGGATGTAGATAATCAATATGTATTTGAAGTACATAAGATGGTATACGCTTTACACATCTCAACGAATTTTCGGTTGTTGATTTGCTGGAGAAGAAAATAATATACGAATCACAAATTACGGACTGTTACCTTGTATGGAAACCTGGTCACTGCGCCTCTTTTTTAAATGAAAAAGGTGATTTTCATGCAAAAGGGGCTCAAATTGATCGTACAATTCAAATCAAATATACAATGAAGCAATGCAGGCAATTCGTGACCACATATTTCAACAACTAAATAATGAATTTAAATGCAATCACCTTTTCTATAAAATAAATCCTACATTCGTTCCTTCAATTCCTGGGATATCAAAACTCTTTATAGATTCATGAGTGGTTACAATACGATACGTACTATGCCATTTGACATTTGTTAAGTTTATAATATTAGCGAGTCTGCTGAACATCTAATTTTCGGGTGACGTAGACTTGATGGGATTAGAAGCTCTTTTGACTTACGCAATCTTGGGAAACGAACTCGCTTTATTAGAAACCCGAATTTACCTTTTTAATACAAGTTAATATATTTTACTTTCAATAAAAATTTATTGGCCTAACATTCTATTTTCAGCCCGAGTTTGTAAAACTATTTTTAAGCCACTTTCAACAACTCAAAAATCTACAGTTACACTTTACATATCGGCCGTAGCACAGCATGGTTGCTGTTTTTTTCCTAGTGTTTTATTTACAATTTTTGCAAATAAATACTATTGTCTATTATCTAGACTTATAAACCACAAATTTTACTGGCTTAGTCCATCTTACCTCAAAAAACAAAAAAAAAATTACAACGAGCAATAGAACGTATTTTTTTAAGATCGTTTTCGTTTAGTTTGTTCACTTCATCCGTGTTCTTAAAGCTATGAATTGTTTGACGTAAAACGTATGTTTATTTGTTTTGTTTTCGCAGCTTTCCGGCAACAATAAATTAAAAGAAGGATATTGAACACATATTTTAGTCTTTATTTGCTTATTAATACTTTACCGATTAAGCACTTCACTGTAAAAAATGCCTAAAGTGGTTTCACGCAGTATAATCTGCTCAGATTCTAAGGATCAAGAAGAGTACAACGAAGAAACACCATTAAATATATACTATTGTTTGTGTGGCAAATTAGCCCTAATTCTCGGTAATTTAATTGCTTTATTATTTATTTGGAACTTTTTTCAAATTTTCATTGTGTTCTTCATTATATGAAGATTGCAATATCGAAAAACTACCTCTAAGACGCACTGACGGAGCGAGAGTAATAGACGGTAAAATTCATGCTCACAAATTAACGTACCAGGAAGGTGAAACAGTGTACATACGCCGTAAAGCGAAGGGGATTGAGAAGCAACTTCGTTATAATGTAAGTAATAAATGAATTTAAGAATTGTGTTGACTTTTCATATTTTAGTGTAAATCCTGCAGTCTGCCAATTTATTATCGCCATGATGCTAAATCGGATGTAACATTTATACTACATCATAGTTTGGTAAAAACGAAAAACGATTTGCACCTATCTTTGGAACCTTGCTGTACAAAACTTTCGATACCGGGTAGCGAATCTGAGAAGGTAATGGTTACTCGGCATACTAAAAATATGGGTAAATTCAGTTCGGTGACCGTTTCTACAATTGATGAGGAAGAGGATGAAATTGAAGCGGTAAGGAAGCGTCAAAATTGAAACGCTTTTGTAATTAACTTCTTTCTGTATATTAATATAGCGTGAAATAGCCGATAGCTACGCTAATAATGCTAAAATTATTGAAAAACAATTGCAAAGAAAAAGTGGTGTCAAATTATGCGAATTAGGTGGCCGCAGTAAATGTGAAGACGGCGGGCCGGCTAACAAAAAGACTAGAGGTACTTTGTTGGATGTATAATTTAGCAGCAAGGACAGTTCTTTTAATTAAAATATGTTTGAATGCGAGATGTGTTTTTATTTAATTCAGGGCAATAATAACATTACGATTGACATATATCGAGAAACAATTATTCCTTATTAAGTTCTCTTACAAGATTTCAGCATTGTTGTTGTAATATGTTTAAAGGATTAATATTAAATTTTGTGTATTATTCGTGCTGCAAGTAGTGAACAAGAAAAGTATTGGATATTCTACCTCCGCAGAATATTTAGGGCGGACTAAGCTTGCTTTTCATCATGAGAGAAATGAAGTTTACGGAGTGTTAGAAGAAAAAGTGTAACCAATATAGGTAATTTTTAAAACACCCACTGTGTTAAACGTAACAACAAAACTTAGAATTCATATCATCATTCTAACCATATAAGCTAGAATAGAGGAAGTTATCACCCGTTTCCCTAAATTTCAAGGCAGTTAACATAAGTAATTTTAAGTTATCCCTTATCTACCTTCATAACTAACATCCCCATATGAATTTCTGCAACAGCAAACTTTCCATGTTGTCAACAACGTCATAGCGCGTAGCCTCCCGTTAGGCGGTTAATCATGTAAGCAGCCGATTATTTTCTTTAGGAGATAATTGACTATCGCCGTGGGGCTAATCAATTGTCATCGTCGTCAGCTTTCCAATACTTTCCTTCAAATTTTTCAATATAAGGCATTAGTCACTGACAGAGTAGTGAAAAATGAGAACCCAATTGATATATAACTGCCTTGTAAAAATGAAGCATGCAAAATTATATGGAATTTGACACTTGAAAGAAGTAATAAAGTTAAATGCAGTGTTTAAATTTGTAGGTCTTTTATTGCAAGAAAAGTAAATTATTATGTATTGTTTTTTTACACAATTGCCGGCAAATTAGATTCTCTTGGCGTTTGTCACCTACTTTATTGTTGCCTACTTACATATTGTTCCCTAGGTATGGTGAGTAAATTTAGAATTGACTACTGTAAGATACGCGGTCTGCAGGTAAATTTTTTCATGGTATATGCACATAAACAAAGTTTGGGCCGATATTTTCGCTCTGTATCTATCTAACTAGATGTGGTTCTCGAAATAAGTCCTTTTTGGCTTTATGTATGCACAATAGGTATGAGAAACGCTCTTTCGAAATTCTCAAAAAAGTCGTAAGCACACTTACGCGCACTTTGCGTTAGTATTGGATGTTTATCGCTGCATTTATAAAAAAAACAGGTGTAAATTGAAGACGAAATAAATTTCAAAGAAAACTGTTTATTTACAAAGAACGCTGAGTGGCCGAGTAGGCAAGAGTCTCGACTAGCAACTCAATGGTCGTGGGTTCAAATCTCAAGTGCGGTAGAGCTTTTAATAAAGCCGCGAAGCCTTAGATGCTAGTGCTTTGAGACTTTAGCCTTTGAATTTATTTTCTGGCTAAATTAATAACAATAATAATAATAATACAAAGAACCATAGCCGATAGCCTTAGATGCTAGTGCTTTTAAGAGTTTAGTCTTAGAATTTATTTCTGTGGCGAAATTAATAATAATAATAATAATAATAATACAAAGAACCAAACCTGAAAAATTTTAAATATGTGAAAGATAAGCAAATTAATTCTTCTCTTTTACTTTTTCCTACAATTGTGTAATTAACTCGCCAAAGCTTATAATCAATTGTGTACCATCAATCCTTGTGTATACAAAGGTTGGTATTAAACTCATTTTTCAAATATATAAATGAAGCTTTTGAATTTTCAAGGTCGCTGGCGTACTTTAATGTAGGAGTGGAAAGGCAAGTACGATCCAAGAAAGATGGGAATGTTTGTAAATAATTATGTAGCCCTACACAACATTTGCATGCACTATGGAGAGCAAAATCCGGAAGTTGGGGGTTTAACTTCTGCTTCTTCCGCATCGTATTTGGACGTTTCGCTGAAGGTCTCCCAGTTAGGGTGAATGAGTTAGGAAATAGAAACCAACCATCTTCCGGACTTTCAAATTGAATTGTAATGAAATAAATAATATAAGGAACAATTACGTTTTTATTAAAATTAAAAGTTTTCCGGAAGCTGGTTATTTATTTATTTATTTACTTTATTTACTAATACGTGAAACTCAAATAAAACAAATTGGCGATCGAGTTCAATTGACTCTTAAATTAAATCTTAAATTGATTAATATTAAAACTTAGTATAAGTATAATCAAAAAAATAAGAAGGGGGGGGGGGGGGGGCCCCCGTCATGTATACAACTAGCACAGAGCCACACCTACAACCAGTACAGGACCAAATTGCAAATGAACCCCTAAGCCATCGCAAACATGCATAAGCTTGGCAACCAATAATAGTTAACAACAATTAATTATCGACTTATCGTGACTTTTTAAGGTTAAGAACTAGTTTAAGTACGACATAGGTAAATTACGCGCATTAAGCAATGTTGCTTTAATGGACTTTAAAAAATCCGTTAATGTGAATAAATGACAGGCGTCATTTAGGTTTCTGCAAACAACTCTGAGCAGATTAAACAGCTCATAATTATATTTACATTGACAAGATAAAGTGTGTAGAGAAGTGGTTAGGGACATTAAAGCTTATCTCACCAAGTAATGCAGACGAGTCAATAGTACCATGTATCACTTTGATTGCAAAGGGAAAGCCAAGAATAAATCTACGTTCCTCAAGAGACGGTAAGGACAACAGAAGCAACCTATCTTCATAGGGAGGAAGAGAAACAATCGGATCCCAACCCAAATTTCTTTGAGGTCGTTAATTGTTAAGCGGGTTAGAGCGTCCGCTATGTGATTGCATTTCCCCTTGAGGTACTCTACCGTAAAGTCGTATTCTTCCAAGTCTAGCCTTAAACGCGTAAGTTTTGAACTTGGATTCCGCATAGAGGTTGGATATACTAATGGTCTGTGATAAGATTTTACCAAGAAATGTCGTCCGTATATATAGGGTCTGAAATGCTTGATTGCCCAATGTATTGCGGTTAGCTTTCATTCGGTAGTGGATTTGTTGGTTTCCCCTTTTGTGAATGTTCTTGAGGCGTAGGAAACTAGGAGTTGTACTCCGTTGTAGTGCTGTGTGAGTACCGCGTCGCAGGCATACTTGCTAGCATCTCTTGTTATGCAGAATGGTTTTTTGAAGTCTGGATATTGCAGTTAGGTTGGTTTTACTAATTCACTCTTTAGGTGCTCAAATGCCTGATTAAATGTTGATGTCAATTCGAATGCGACTTTCTTTCTGCAAAGTTTAGTTAAGTGGCGTCAGTATTCCGAAAAATTTTTTATAAACGTCTACAATGGTTGCAAATTGCAACAAAACGTCTTACACTGTCTGCTTCTTTTGGGATCGGTTAATTCTTGGAGATGATGTCACCGGGAAGTATTCTCTTCTCAGTGCATTTATGTCCTAAAAAGGTTACTTCGTGCACGGAAAAAGAATATTTCTCTGGGGTTAGCTTTAAATTGCGTTGCCTACATAGCTGGAACTCTCTTAAATTTTTGAGCACATGTTGCTCTGAACGTCCTATTACTACTAAATCATCCATGCAGAGAAACGCTTGCGATGGTTTTAGGCCGGAGAAAGCAAGAGTCATCAAGCGCTGGAATGAGTTTGGTGCTATTTTTAGGCCGCATGGGAGTCGCGTGTAGCGGTATGAGCCATTGCTCGTTGCGAAGGAGGTTATTTTCGTGATTTCTCTTCGAGTTCGATTTGATGAAATCCATACATTAAATCGAGGCATGAAAAGTATTTAGCTCTTCCTAGCTGGTTAAGAATGTCTTCAATTCTTGGAAAAGGGAACTTATCTGCTAACAATTTCTTGTTTACTTGGCGACAATCCATTACTAAAAGCAATGTTTTTTCGTTTGAGTTTGGTGGAGATTTTTTTGGTACTAATAGAGGTGGGCTATAATATTCGGATATGGACGGTTCAGCTATTCGGTCTTTGATCAATTTAAGGACCTGTTTATCTATTTCTGATCTTTGTAATTCGCGAATTCGATAGTTTTTAATATGTATAGGTGTTTTATCATTGAAGTTTTTATTTATAGAAATTGCTCGCAGTTATTGGTTCGGTTTCAATACCGAAAATATCACAGAATTCTGTACATATTTCTGATAGCGGTTGTTTGAATATTGTGGGAAATTATAATTTGTTAATATTATAATCATTTATGTGAAAAAATCATTTTGGTTTGTGTAAGCAACAATTGAGCTCTTTGTAAAAAGTGTCTTTTTTTTTTTTTTTTTTGCTTGTTAATCTTTTGTTTACAGTTTTTTAGCTTTCGCTCGTTATTTACAGTGGGCAAGGTAGTGAAATATTTTCTTTAATTCGCTGCCGGGGAATTTTTTAGTTTTTCTTTTTCCCTTCATAAGCTACTTTTGTTGTTCCAATTGACATGGATTGCTTATTTACTCCATGTCGTGCGAAAACCGGCCCGCATCTGAACGATTCATTTCTTGTTGGTTGTGTGATCGCTTTGGACATTCAAAGTGTGCTGGTATTACCGGCCGTGCTTCTAAAGGTTTACGATGGTCATGTCCTGACTGTAGAAAGCGGGACATTGATTTCTACAAGCTCTTCACGGAGACGAGAAATTGTTTCTCAGATTTGAGCAAAAATCTCGGCTCTTTGTGGGAGAAGTTTGAATTAATCAAGACTAGGTTTGATGAATTTCGGTATATTGCGCAGTCATCTTCCTCTCCAGCTAACAAAGTCTCAACGCGTAGTGTAGCGTGTGGTACGTCACCTCCTAAGTCCGTTTCGTTGGTGCCAGTTAGCGAACCCCCAAAGGCTACAAATAATGTTAGCGTTTCTGCTACGGCTGAGTCGGTTGGTAACATAAATGTTACAAATAGGCCGAGAAGTCCTTCTGGCTTGAGCTATGCTGAAGTGGCAAGGGTATCTCCTCCCATAGATGTCACTCAATCTTCTCAGGCGTCATCGCCCAAAACTAATAAGGGTAATAGTAAATCGTCCTCTCCTCCTCGCTGTTCGAGCGTAAATGCTGGTCGCCAAACTGAGCAGGTCGCACAAGCTGCTCGTGCAAGTGTGGTTAACCCTTCTATATTTTCTCCAACTTATAACTCCCCGTCCGTGAACCCTGCTGCTCCCAGTACTGATGGCATATGCTTGAAGGCAGTTCCTCCCAGAAAGGCAATATTTGTGTCAAGACTGGCACCAGATACATCTGTTGAAAACATAAGGGGTTATCTGGCAGCGAAAGCCCCTTCTGTCAATTTAAAGCGAGTTAGTATTTTCAAACTGGGTCCTTCTCAATCTAGAGCTATCTCATCTTTTAAAATTCTAGTTCCGACCGAAAATATGGATTAGATTTTAAATAAACCATTGTGGCCGGTTGGATCCTTAATTAAGGAATTTATCCCTCGGGACCGACCCCGTAATGCGAATGCAGTAGCTCTTTCCCCTTCAAAAAACTAAATATTTCTTCAGCCTCATTTTCTCTCATTTGTCAAAATGTTAGGGGCCTAAATTCAAAAATTCGTTCTACCTTCCTAAATTCAGTGAGCACGGAGTTTTACTGT